TCATAATCCACCATTTATCTCCTCATTTAATGAACCAGATTAATTCACAAATACAGAGAGAGGAGCAGACTGGTAATTATGCTACCCTTTCCTTTTTTGTTTGGACTGACGCGGATCCAAAGGAGAGAGAGAAAACAACTATTTTTTTCTAATCCCCTAGTTTTCTTAATCGGACCCTATAACATCCTTTAACTTGGAATTTAAAAAATTTTGCATAACAAGAAGGCATTAATTATGATCTACACAATGATATCTATGTTTTATATTTGAGCAAGGAAAAAATTAGTTTTTCGAAGCACATGTCGATTATAGTATTATCATTGTCATATCTATCATATTATAGTATTATCACTTCCCAAATTACAACCACTGGACAACAAATCCGGCAACCCCTTATGTTTGTCGGACGATTTTATAATATATATAAGTATGTTTTGTAATTTTGTATCAATTCGGTTTGTATCGTTTATCATCCTAGTTTGTCATTTTTATATATTATCTTTGTAATTTTTTATGACTAATTTGTATACATTGTAATTTGTAATGTTTGTTTATCTAGTTTGTATACTTTATGTTGTGATTTGTATACTTTGTATTCATTGATTTATAATACAAGTTTACTGTTTTGTATTGTAAGTAGTGGCATTTTATACAGTTAGTATGTTTTGTAATGTTTCTCGGTCTAGTTTGTATTGTTTGTATAGTTCGTATGTTTCGTATTGTTTGTAAATCTGTTTGTATGTTTTCTCACTCTAGTTTGTATTGTTCGTATGTTTGTATGGTTTGTACTGTTTATAAGTTCGGTTTGTATACTTCGTAATTTTCCATAATACCCAAACTACTCCTATTATTAATTTAAAAGCTCTTCCCACTTTTTAACCGTCAGATTGGTGTGTCTAGATCTAAGGGCTGGGAGGGGCTTAGTCAAGTGACTAAACACCCGGATCGGATATGGTCCTCCCACCTACTGTTGGGAGGACGTCCTCCCAACGGAAAATATGATATTTGTGTAATGATAATATAGTATAAGATTTACAGGAATACATATTCGTGCAACAAGAAAAATGTATTCTTATAATAGATGGTAGTATGAAATAAAACCTCCAAGAATATGACATTTATGTTATGAGAATATGATATTCTTGAAGGCTTGATGATATTTATGGTATGAGAATATGATATTCTTGAAGGTTTGATTTCATACTACTATCTATTATAAGAATACATTTTTCTTGTTGGACGAATATGTATTCCTGTAAATCGTACACAATATTATTATTACACAAATATCATATTCTCTGCTGGGAGGACGTCCTCCGAACAGTAGGTGGGAGGACCTTATCTTTTCTGCTAAGCACCCCCTTAGCCACCAGATCCTCGCCTAAAAAATCATATTCTTTTTTTTATTATAAAAACCTGGAAGGAGCTTTTATTAATGAATCAAAACGATTACAGAATCCAGCTTAAGTTGTTCATTAACAAAATCAGGGGGCCTCTCTAACCATACTATTCTTTCGTTCCAATTCGTCTCCTCCTACGCTAGCAAGTGCGCCACTTCATTTGTTGTTCGAGGATAGTGCTGCCTGCAGCTTCCATTTCCCATTTTCTCCAAAAGTTGACGTATGTTATGGCATATTATTCCCAACTCCGTTTGAGTGTCATGCACGTCATGGAGTACACTCACTTGATTCAAGCAATCTGATTCAAGTATCGGGGTCCCAACTTGCAGTTGTAGGTCGAGCTAAAGGCCAAATTCAGCGGCTAGTGCTTCTGTCATCTCGACCATCAAGCTACCCGGAACTCGTTTCACCGCCGCAAAGATAAACCTTCCGTTCGCATCTCTATCAACTGCAGCAAGACCTGTACCCACTCCAAGCAGAATACTAACATCGGTGTTAATCTTAACCATCCCATAATTAGGCTTTATCCACTTTCCTCCTCCCTTGACCGGCAGTTCATCCCTCTGAAAAAAATCATATTCGAATCCATTTAGTTGGGTTTGTTTCCAACTCATGGATTTAGATATTTTATCTACAAAGCCTATATTAAGGATTTTATAATTTATGAGTTTAACTTTTTAAATAAGTCCGAAACATTATGAAAATTAAATTTTAGCGCCTCAATACTTTTCCAATTGAATATATATTTTTTACAAACAAATCCAACTATGTATATGTATTAATATATGATATTGCCTTTATATAAAAAAAGATTACTCAATAATTGAATAATGGTAATCCCTAATCCCGGGCCAAGATCAGGTGACTAAGGGGATGGCTAAGTGAATCTAAGCCACTCAACCTCATTAAAATCCAATGGCTCCAATTAATTCAATTTAATGAAGGACAATGTGGTAATTGCATGTTTATTTTTTATTTATTAATAAATTTAAAAATAACTTCCCTCTCGTGAGGATTTTTGCTGCACGGTTTCCGGCGTACCAACGCCACCGACGACCAGAAAATTGTATACGCTGCCGGGTTTCCGGCGTACCAGCGTCACTGGCGACCAGGAAAATTTATGAGCTGCCCGGCGTCCCGTTGCCACCGTCGGCAAATATCTCCCCCTGCTGGGTTTTTTTCATTCCATAATTTTGACTTTGTGACGTCCCGGGAGAGAGAGAGGGCAGCGCCCCGTCGCCGCCGCCCGACAGGAATTTCCCCCTGCTGGGTTTTATTTCATTCCCATAAACCCCATTTTGGCTTTGTGTCGTCCCCAGAGAGAGAGATTTTCTGGTTGGAAAATTTTTTCCGACGGACATCGTCGCCGGAGAAGAATTTTCCGGCGACAGTGCTAATTTTGTGATGTTTGTTGACATATTTTGTAATGTTTGTCGGTTTTTTTTTGTAATGTTTGTAAACTTTGTTATTTTTGTCAACCATGTTTGTAATGTTTTTTATGTCTAAAAAACAACCTGGTTGACTTTTGGATGGAACTCCTCTATATAGGGATGAAGCCTCCAAAGTCAACCCGGGTGTTTTTTCTAGTTCGTATGGATTGTCGGTCTAGTTTGTCATTTTTGTCCACCATGTTCGTAATGTTTGCATGTCTAAAAAACACCCGGGTTGACTTTGGGAAGGAGCCCCTCTATATAGGGATGGAGCCTCCAAAGTCAACCCGGGTGTTTTTTCCCGTTCGTATGGATTGTCGGTCTAGTTTGTCATTTTTGTCCACCATGTTCGTACTGTTTGTATGTCTAAAAAACACACGGGTTGACTTTGGGAAGGAGCCCCTCTATATAGGGATGGAGCCTCCAAAGTCAACCCGCTTGTTTTTTCTTTTTGTATGGTTTGTATTGTTTGTCAGTCTAGTTTGTATTGTTTGTACAGTTCATACGTTTGTAATGTTTGTAAATCTGTTTGTATATGTTTTGTCGCTCTAGTTTGTACTGTTCGTATGTTTGTATGGTTTGTACTGATTGTAAATCCGGTTTGTATACTTCGTAATTTTCCATAATACCCAAACTACCCCTGTCATTAATTAAATAGCCCTTCCCGCTTTTTAACCATTGGATTGAAGTATCCATATCTAATGGTTAGGAGGGGCTTAGCCAAGTGACTAAGCACCCCCCCTTAGTCACCAGATCCGCTCTCCCTAATCCCTACTATTATATCATAGCATTCAGTCGTTAAGAACATAACAAGACATTGTCAGCCCTGCTCTTAATATGAAATATTCATTCATTATAAACACTATGATGTATCTTGTGACAAGTTGTTTTTCAATTAGTTGAAATATGAAGGCTAGGGCTTGGCTTATCTAGTGAAAAGATAGTGCCCCAAAATTATAGCAAAAAATCATGTAGTTAACCCGCCATTGAAACTTTTCCTTCACTTCGCTTCAAGCTCACCAAAGCTCCCAAACAGACACCATTAAAACCATGCACGTTGTATTCTTTCCTCGTCCGAGCACTCCCAACACCCACTAGCTAGCCTCTCTCCAAATGTTTGTTGGTTTCTTTTGTATTGTTTGTAATGTTTGTATGACTATTTTGTATATATTGTAATTTGTAACTTTTGTTATTCAAGTTTGTATACTTTTATGTTATGATTTGTATACTTTGTATTCATTTGTTTGTAATACAAGTTTACCAATCTGTATTGTAAGTAGTGATATTCTGTACGTGTAGTATGCTTGTACTGTTTGTCGGTTTCTTTTGTAATGTTTGTAATGTTTGTTGGTTTCTTTTGTATTGTTTGTAATGTTTGTTATTTTTGTCCACATGTTTGTCATTTTTGTCAACCATGTTTGTAATGTTTTTTGCATCACAAATCAATACATATAAAGTATACAAATTATTAGTACTTACAATACAAAGCGACGTGATTTGCAGCACAAATCAATACATATAAAGTATACAAATTAATATTACAAAACATACAAACTATAAAAATCATACTGACATTTTGTACAAAAATACTAACAATACAAACTAATGTTACAAAACATACAAACTATACAAATCACTGTTCTTCTTTCAGACGACGTATACGATGTCTCTCCACCGCCGCTGCCGCCGCCGCCGACTCTCTCTACTGTCGTCGCCACCTCTCTCTCTCTCCATCGTCGCGCTGCCTCTCTCTCCTCCATTGTCGCCGACACTCTCTCTCCGCCGCCTCTCTATCCTCCACCATCGTCTCTCTCTCCTCTGGTGTCCCGACGACGACGAGATCGGCTTTCTCTCTCTTCAAAGCTGCCGCCTCTGTCACGTTCTTTCTCCTTTCCCTCTCTTCGTTGTCGCCGGCACCGTCGAGATCTCCATTGTCGTTGTCGCCGCCCTCTCTTCCATCATCGTCGGCGTTCTCCCCCGCTGCAGCGCTTCTCTCTCTCATGGACGGCGGTGCTACGCAGAAGAAGACAGGCTGGAGGAAAAAATAATTAAATAAAATTTTCATAATCCCAAAATTGCCCCTCTCATTATTTAATCATCCTTCCCTTATTTCCACCATTAGATCAATTAATAAGTATCCAATGGCTGAGGGGGGCTTAGCCAAGTGACTAAGCACCCCCTAGTCACCAGATCCGCTCTCAACCCGAGTGCAATCAAGGTGGCCGAGAGCCGCGACACGTGGAAGTCGCTCACCCTCTTTGGATCCCTCATGATGGCCAACGATCCACTGACTGAAGGCCCTGATCCAAACTCCAAGCTGGTGGGCTGGGCCCAAGGGCTTTACGGGTCCGCCTCGCAGCACGATATCGGTTTGATCATGGCCCTGAGCTTCGGCTTCGTGGATGGGGACTACAGCAGGAGCTCCGTCAGCGTTCTAGGGAGGAACTCTGCAGCTAGCAGGGTGAGGGAGATGTCGGTCGTCGGCGGGACCAGGGTTTTCAGGCTGGCGAGAGGTTATGCGGTGGCGGAGACTTATTGGCTCAATGTCCTCACTGGAGATGCAATAGTTCACTACAATGTTACAGTCGTTCATTACTGATAGATTGATACCTTTCTAGGCCTTTTGGCTAAGATCAAGTGTATTGGTAGATTGAACGTGAGCGATTGTATTTTGCTAATAACAATAAAGGTCTCTCAACCTTTTTTTAGTTAAGAGGTGATTATTCAAGCTAATAAGTTAATTACTGGGTAAACAAATTTCGTTCGAATGAAAGTTAATTTGAATGAATAAAATAGGTTAACCACATTTGGAGTACTTGTATTATTATGTCATCTTAGTAAACACAAATCTTTAAAGTTTGTTTTTGTTTATAAATTTTTCATGCGCTATTTCGTTTATCTGGCTTTAGTTTCTCAATTTTCATTCAAATACATTAATCATAAATTTATATCATACTTAATAAGGCTTTTGCTATACAAGTTTCATTTTACTAATTATTTTATATGTAAATAGTTACGAATCTTCAAAAATAAATTATATTTCTTTTAAAAATAATTTGCAGTCTTGCCTATGCCCACCATTTCTCGACCAACAATTAAATGCTTATTCAACGATTACACTATATTTCAGTAAAAAAAATCAATATATGTGAATGTCTATCTAAACATTACGTGTAGTGTAGTCTAAGGAGCAAGGTTGTTAACCTCGATTAGATCACTGACCGACCAAGCAACTGGGTTCGGGTTGGCTAGTCGAATCGACATCAACTCAGTTAGCCTATTTATACACATTTAAAAAGATAAAGGTAATATAGTGTAGAAACCAGAGAATTTAGTGCCTGAAATGTAAGTTGATAGACATTTTGTACTCATTGTTCTTGTTGTGATTGAGTTTCCTTTGTTATTTGTTGATTGGATCAGGATGTGGTTTACATTTTATATGTTTGGTGTCGTGTTTAATGGGGTTTGGTGAGCTACCTTCTTGTGTAAAGGAACTAGCTAGACATGACTAGTTGCTCTGGAGATGATGAATTCGCCATTGGAGCATGCTTGTAGAAGTTGAACAGAGACAATGTATAGAGCTTCCTTTCACTTTATACACATCAACAACTTAGTGTCGAGCCTGTGTTGCTGGAGCATTTAAGTTGTTTACACTCCGCAGGATGGAATAATGTCGGATAGGAGTAGAGATTAGTTAATTGTGATTAAGCCTGTGTTTGTCACTTGACGTTCTCTTAATGGTTAGTTTAAGCGTTAGTCACGTTATCATTAATCAGACTATTTTACTTTCTTTGGTGACTCCATAATCACTTGAAAGAGTAAAAGCATACAACAGTATCATGCTCTTCCTCAAAAGTATAATACAAAGAACTTGTGCAGTTGTCTTGTGAAGTGCAATGGTTGAAGTCTTTGTTGCAGCTTTATGGAATCACTCATTCTCAACATGTTGAATTTTTATGATGACATCTAGTGTGCAATTTATATTCTAAAAAATATGGTCTTTTACGAACACACAAAACATGTTAAAGTTGATTGTCATGTAGTTTGTGAAAGTCTGAAGTCAAGACTCCTGAGACTCCAATACATCCCCACTGGAGATCAGTTGGTAGATCTCTTCACCAAATGATTGTCAGTTGAAAATTTTCGTTACTTGATGGGCAAGCTGGTAGTGACAATATGTGTTTGCCAGCTTGAGGGAACGTGTAAAGAAACTAAACATGACTAGTTGGTCTATAGATGACGAATTCACCATTGGAGCATGCTTGCAGAAGGAGAATAGAGACAATGTATAGAGATTCCTTTCACTCTATACATATTAGCATTGAGTGAGTTGCTGGAGCATTCAAGTGGTATACAGTCCTCAAGATTGAACGATGTCGCATAAAAGTAGAGATTAGTTAATTGTGATTAAACTTGTGCTTGCCACTTGACATTCTCTTATTAGTTAGTTTAAGTGTTAGTTAGTCTCGTTACACACTATGTATACTTTCAGAGTATATATATGCAAATCTCACAGAGGACAAATGCACACTGCTTGTTTTCCACAAACGATTGTCTTCTTCCTTCTTGCTCTCAAACCCTAGTCGCTTCTCGAGCTAGGTTACAATCTTTCTCGTCTTGCTCACAATGGGTTTCGTCAAAGGGATTCTTTGTTATGTATCTATTTGTTATAAAAATGGAGGTTTTTCTCGTGTATCTTCGATGATTTAGCTCTTTTAGCCCTTCTTCCATTCCATCATATGCGTTAGCGAGCTGGTTTGGCTCATTGGATAAAAGTGGTGTGAAAAAATATTATTTAACCATAGTGGGCGGATAGAAGGTGAAGTGAAAGTTAATTTGACTGAATAAAGAAGGTTAAAGACATTTGAATTTCTTGTACTATATCATTTTAGTAAGTATAAATCTTTAAGTTGCTTTTCTTATGAAAATATTTGTGCATTATTCCTTCTTGTTCTCAAACCCTAGCCGCTTCTCGAGCTAGGTTACAATCTTTCCAATCTTGTTCACAATGGGTTTCGTCAAAGTGATTCTTTGTCCCATATCTTTTTGTTGTAACAATGATGGTTTTCTCATGTATCTTGGATGAGCCAACGTTTTCATCCCTTCTTTCATTTTGTCCTATGTGTTAGCGAGCTGGTTTGGCTCATTGGATGAAAGTGGTAAGAAAAAATATCATTCAAACATAGTGGGCGAATATAAGGTGAAGTGAAAGTTCATTTCATTGAATAAATAAGGTTAACGACATTTGAATTTCTTGCATTATTTCATTTTAGTCAGTATAAATTTGTAAGTTGGGTTTCTTATAAAAATATTCGTGCATTATTATTTCTTGCTCTCAACTCCTATACGCTTCTCGAGCTAAGTCAATCTTTCTCATCTTGCTCACAATGGGTTTCGTGAAATGGATTCTTTGTCCCGTAACTATTTATTGTAATAATTGAGGTTTTCCCATGTATCTTGGATGATGAGTCAGCTCTTCGAGGCCATCTTCCATTCCATCTTACATGCTGCAAGCTGGTTTCACCCATTAAAGGAAAGTGGTAAGAAAAATATTGTTTAAACATAGTGAGCGGATAGAAAGTGAAGTGAAAGTTATTTCATCGAAAAAGAAAGTTAACAACATTTAGTTTTCTTGGAGTACATCATTTTAGTAAGTATAAATCTTTGAGTTAGTTTTCTTATGAATTTTTATTTCATTGTTCCGTCCATCCTATTTTAGTTTCTCAACTTTCTTTCAGATACATTAATCATAGTAGGGATGTTAGTAAGTTTTGTTATTATCATACTTTTTTCTGTTACTGTTAACCGTTAATCAATTTGCTTACTATTAACCATATCATTTATATTAGTGGGATAATCATAATCATATAGTCAATTATCGATAATTATCAGTTAACCGACTAACCGTTTAGTAAGTGATCCTACATGATTAGATCAGAATAATTAACCAATAATCAAACCTACAAAAGGCCTCCTCCTTTTCCAACGCAATATCTGAACATATATTAACTTATTAAATTTTTTCGAAGGATATGTCACAACTATCTAAACATTACACACCATTTTACTTTATGGAGAGTAGCTAGATTTGTGACTACAAAATAAAATTAGTGCTATATCTAGAGATCCAGCCGAAAAAATCAGATAAAATTATGACTTAATAGATCCACACATTTTATTTCAAGTAAATTACAAATTTATAGGAAAAAATCATATTATACGAAAAAATTGCGACGATGATTCATGGAAACAACGATACAAACTGTCAACAGAACAACTGATAAACCGATATTTGCACGTGTTTTGCCCACTATTCTTGACCGTTTGAGAGTCCATTCTCGTGTTTTAAACCGATTTCACGCTAGGTTGTGCATTTAAATCATATTTCAGGACCTGAAACGAAATGGGAAGCTTGGAAGCGCGAGTTTTGGGTAAAAAACGGAGACTTGGCAGAAAGTGGAGTTGGAAGGGCAAATTACCCGGTCAGGTCACCCAAATACCCGACCGGGTAAAGGACTACCAAGACAAGGTATTCAACCAGGGGGGCCCAGTCGACCCCCCGGGTCAGGAACCTTAAATACGCGACCAAATATTTTCACTCGATGTTGGGTATTTCCCCATGTCGATACGCGTCGTTTAACTAATACCCGGTCGGTTCCCGTAATACCTGACCGGGTATTTGAACCAGGTTACGCAAACTCGGCCTGTTACAAGCAGATTGTGGGGTTTGGTCTATCATCCAAGTTTCAGATCTGAAAATAAAGTTTTAGAGAGAGAAAGTGATGAACCCAACCTTCAAGGTGACCTAGATCGAGTTTTGACACCATTGGAGCTCGATGGAAGCCAAGAGAAGCACCGATTGACAACCAGAAGCTGAATTTCATTCTCCCCATGATGATTTCTGCATCTGAAGTTGATTCTCTTCTCTCTCTATGGAGTAAACTCCCTCTCTCACCTAGGTATGAAGAACCCTAGATTTGTATGTTAGGCTTGATTGTATGAACGCAAGTACATGATCTCTTTATATTGATTATATTCAATTGAGGCATGGTTTTTGAATTCCATGAATCTTGATCACATTCTTGTAGTTTCTGCTTTGAGATAGAAAGAGAATATTTACATAGGTTGATAGAGCACCCTTAATTGAAGGTGGTGAATTGACTACTTTAGTAGATGAATCAATTCATTGCTATGTACTGGATTTAATCCAGTAGAGGAGCTTTTGCACTTTAGGGCCTTAGTTCGTATACTCCGGTGGAGGTTAGTCGCCTGTCGGGTATTCAAACTGGGAGGGTCTGAAGACCTTTAGTCGAGACTTCAGACTGAATAAGAACCTTCCGCAGACCGCAGTATAAATATCATTATATCTGTACTTGATGAATTACAACTTGGTTTAACTGCAATCTAGGGGGAACCATATCTGGGTAACCTCTCCCGAACTTGAATCACAACTTTACTGCTTTGTGTTTGCTTAAATTAGTTACAATTTCACTACACTTAAATGGCTAGATAATAAGAACTTCACTGAGTAGTCATTACATCTAGGACCCGAGTTGACAAATAAAGCTAAACCCATATACTACGCATTAGTTTGTGGTTACACTTGGCCACTTTCTAGTGTGACGGTATTGACGAGTCAACAACTCTTAAAAACATATAGAATGTCAACAATTGTGTGTTTTTTCAGATACTCCTATACAATTGCAACTTGTTTTTGCTCAATGGATACAAAACACTCATGCTTTAGCACTTAGCGCAATAGCTCCTGGTGCAACAACAAGCACCAATTTGACTATGGGTGTGGTGATTAGATGGTAGTGGGTGGGAAGATTGCTTTATTACCTATTTTTATTGGGAATCACGAATTTTTTGGTACATCATATTTATGCAAGTCTTCAAAGTCGGACATGACATGAGAAAGATTTTTTGGTTAAACCTTTTAAATATATTTGAAGATGTCACTCTTATAATTGATAGTCCCAAATGAAATAAACCAGACACACTTCAGCCTAGTTATTCTGCAAACTGTATAGGTTGTTAGTATATACTAACTAATATCCAAAATGTATGAACTAGTATCCAAGTCTGCTGATTTTACTAAATTATCTAGATATCACAGACTAGTATTCAAAACATTACAAACTACTATCCAGATAGCAGATGCCAACTAATATCCACAATCAGCCAACTAGTATTCAATATGGATACTCTTATGTGATATCTGGATACTCTTATGTGTTATCTGGATACTAATTATGTGATGTATGGATACTATTCTGTGTTGTCTAGATATTAGTTTGTGAAATTGGGATAATAGTTGATTCATGGTGGATATCAGTTAGAAAACCTTCAGTACTAGTCTGTGCTCTCTAGATACTTTAGTACTTGAATACTAGTTCATGTATTTTGGATATCAGTTAGTATCTGCTAACGAATCTTCAAGTTAGCATAATAACTTTTTCAGACACACTTACCTTCCCCTTTCAGCTTCCTCGATCTAGGGTAGCTTAGCCGGAAACTTCTGTAGAACATAACATATGGTAGGGGTGGGCAAACGGTTCGGTAAACCCGAACCGAACCGAACCGAAACCGAATTAAACCGAACCGAAACCGAATTAATGCTATTCGGTTCGGAATTCGGAAGGAAAATAGGGATAGTTCGGAAATCAAGGTTCTTTCAACCGAACCGAATTTCCGAATTTCCGACCGAAAAACCGAAATACTATAATTGCAAGGTCCAAATGGTGGATTTTTATGTTTGTAGTTGTTTTTAGACTAAAATATTTGAAATGTTTTATGACTTATGTGTTGAAAAGTTTGGTTTTATCATTGATGATGCATATAATTGATATTTATTGTTTATATTAGGGGTGAAAAATAATTTAAAAGTGAGAAAAATACAAGTAGCTTCACAAATTCGGTTTTGTGTGAAAAACCGAACCGAACCGAATTATAATTCGGTTTAAACCGACCGAACCGAATTATAATTCGGTTCGAATTCGGTTTAAGGTTTGGAAGAATTCGGAAACCCGGTATTCATAATTTCGGTTCGGTCGAAACCGAACCGACCGAATGCCCACCCCTAACATATGGTGGGTTCCTATGTTAAGTAGGCTGCCATGATTAGGACTTAGGAGAGTTGTCGTGTTTACGGGCGTTTGATATTTGTTGAATTTTGTCCAAGTTTAGGTGGAATTGGAACTTGGAAGATAAGTAATAATGTAAGTGTAACAGCATGATAAATTGTTTGATATTTGTTGAATTTTGTCCAAGTTTAGGTGGAATTGGAACTTGGAAGATAAGTAATGATGTAAGTGTAACAGCATGAAAAATTCTTTGGAAAGAGGAGCTAACCAGTAACCACAACAAGTCAACAACCGAAGGAAAAAGATACCAGCAAAGCTAAAAAAGAGGTCCTACCGGGAGTCGAACCCAGGTCGCTGGATTCAAAGTCCAGAGTGCTAACCACTACACCATAGAACCTAACTTACTGACTAATTTTCTGTAATGTTCTATATAATACTAAGCAAGCACTCACCTGTCAGTAGGAATGGCAATGGGGCAGGTCCGGGGCGGGTTTCTTGGTACCCAGAGGAATGGCAATGGGGCAGGTCCGGGGCGGGTTTCTTGGTACCCAGACCCGCCCCGTGGCAGGTCGGGTCGGGTAATTGATCACGGGTCGCGGGTCGGGGCAGGTCGACCCAATGGGTATGCAATTTATATGAAAACATTAGAAATATTCGTTATTTTTATTATAAGACTAAGAAAACAAACAATATTGTGACAATTGTAGTTAAATTATTGGAGAAATTGAGGTTTTTACTAATTTACAACTTTATTATAGCTAAAATATGATGCAATAAAAGGAAAATTCTAAGTAATTTGACTAAGATTACATGTAATTTAGACAAGAACGGGTCGAGAATGGGGCGGGTCAGGCCAGGTCGGGTCGATGAGACTACCCATACCCGCCCCGCCCCACCTACGGGGCGGGTCGGACCCGCCCCAAAACAGGTCAAACAAGTCGGGTAAAACGGGTCGGGTCGAAATTGCCATCCCTACCTGTCACCTTACGGGAAAATTTTAGTTCGAGCCTACGAGTATATCTGAGTGCAAAACTGCTGGCAAGTGTCTATGGAACCAGTCCAAAAATTGCCTGTTGACTGCAGAAGAAGGCACTGTGTGTTAGGCTGTTAGCCATTGCGTTCATCTACATTTTGCGGATATGGTGAAACATTATTCAACATGGCTTCTACATTTTATCAGTCTCATTCTAACGGAAGATAGAAGAGAATGCACTTTGTACAAAAACTAGAATCAATCCCTTCACAGCCAATATAGATTACAAACAATGCCCATTATTATTGAGAAAACCCCAATCACTTTGCTTGCTCAGTGGCTTACTGCAACAAAACCACCACATTGGGAAACAGAGATATATCTAACAAAATGAAACTACAAATGGATCATTCTACCACAAAAGATATAACCCAGAAGAAATTATATAGTCAAAATCAACTCTAACCATAACCAGTTTCAAGAAGCTCAAGATAGAAATATAGATAAAAAGAGAAAGGGATTCCTCAGTGCAGTTCTTATTTTTTCTTCATTGTCCATACTGTAACTGCTGGGGATTACAGAACAGCTTCTGCAACAGTGGAACCAATCCCACCAACGCAATCTGCAGCTGTTCCGAGCTATTCAGCCGCATGCTGATCTGCCCCGCACCTTTATTATTCAAATTTGCACGAGCTATCAAGTTCGTCGACCTCCCCACCGGAATCTGCGACTGCAGGTTGCAACCAACAGCAAGATCACCATGCCAATCCATGACCGAGATCCCCAGCGTCGACAACGAACGGCCCAATGGGTAGTCTTTATCTCTCACCTGCGCCTCCAAACTCCCACCATACGCCACGTCGCTACGTCCAGCCATGGCCCCACCGGACATAACCATCCTGAACCTCTTGTTCACAACCAGCTTGTCCTCGAACTTCGCTCCAGCAGACAAAGCGTCCCCCAAGAGGGTAACTGACACGCCAGCTGTTGCCTTGTTTTTCTTGAAGCTTCCCAGCATTGTCTCTCCGCGGAGAGTGTAGGCCAAGTCCTTCCCAACGGTCTGCATATCAAACCCCATTGAGGAGGCCTTCTTCTTCCCTTTGCCATGCTTGATTGAACTCGCTACCTCCATTTGAACATTGGCATCTTTCTTGTCCTTGGTCACCTGGCCGGAGAAGGACAATGGAATCTTCTCCTTTACTACAAAAAGCCTCTCGGCATTGATCCCATCATAACCAATATCGTGATCCCAGCCATGAGAATCAAGAACCGGACGTATAAACCATCTGTTCGAGTTGTCGAGAGATCGGTATCGGTGCGTAGGGTTATCAGAATCGAAAGAAGCCGGCAGGGAAAAATCCGGGAGAGGAACCGGGACAGAAGTCGCCGGTCCTCCACCTTCTTCTTCTTCTCCACCTCCGGCAATACTATCACTGTACTCAGCAGCCATTTGCTTCATCAACTTCCTTCTCTTCTTCTCTTCGCTCAACTGCTTCTTCATGAAGAGCTTCTCTCTGTATTCCAACTCCTCAAAGTAAGCCTTTTTCTGATCTTTAGTCAGCTTCTTGATTTGAGCTTTCGTCAAGCTCTTGAACGGCGGCAACAGATCGTACTCTGATTCCTCATCTCCCTCCAATTCATCGTCATCCGAATCATCATCCTCACCACCATCATCTTCAGTTGGAAGCTTCACCTGAGGCCTCGACTGAAGGAGTGACGATAGCAAGAACGGCAGAGGAGGAGCTCTCGATCGAGCCACATGTGGCTTCCCGGGCGGACTATCTTGCAACTTCAACAGCGCATTTGCCTCGGCGAGAATCTTAGATGCAAAGGAGAGGAGCAACAAGTGAGGCTTCCAAACCTGACCATTCGGCAACACCCTTTGCCCAGCCCGGTTCGTCCTGCAAGCCGAATGATTTTCCACCAGTGAAACAGGGTTCATCAGCCTCATATCACCTGCAGCCTGACGAATCGCCTGCTGAACAATATGAGACCGCTGAGTAACAAACATATCATAGCTCGAGACAGTACCATTTGGACCCTCAGGTGGAGCAGAAGCCGCATGAGTCAGGACCACAATGGCATTGAACCAAATTGATGGCCCAAATATATCAGTTATGGTTCGTAACAATGGCATGTCACCGAAGTCCCTGCTCTGCATGTCCAAACGATCAAGATACAACACGATATCTGGAGGCGTGTTCTTAATAAACTTCTTGACCGAATTAAGAATCTTCTCATTCTGGCGCTGCTCGGACCATGAAGGGAGGAGTCCAGGCGTGTCAATGACCTGCACCTTAATTCCCTGAACGGTTCCCACAACAGCTTGAACCTTTTTGGTTCCCGATTGAAAAGCGTTTGTATCAAACTTCACCTCGTCAAATATCGAGTTAATCGTCGCACTTTTGCCAACCCCGGATTTTCCGAGAACCATGATTGTGCAGGAGAAGTCGAGTGGTTCCTGACCAACTGCCTCGAGCTGTTCAGCCATGGCGCTGGCGCGATCGAAACTGAAAGCACCCACTCGGCCACCATTTCTGCCACGTAGCTGCTCGGCTAATCCGAGTCTGTACAAGACCTGAGCCACGACGACATTGTGAGGTGTCTGGCCAAGCCTGTGTGCTAGCCGGAGAAATTTCACCCTGATCATCTGTAGTTTCTCACGAGTCTCGTCAAACTCTTCTCCCTCGGTATTGCCCGACTCATCAATCTGTTGAGATTGGGCGTTGGAGGTGGTCCCATTGACACGCTGCTGCTGCGCAGGTCGCTGAGCAGGTTCGAGCAGAGAAGCTCGGCCTAGGCCAGCTGGAGGCCCAGGTTTCTGAGAGGTGGATGCGATCTTGGGTGGTGGAAGCTGAACTCCACGAACTCCGTTTGAACGATGAGCAGTATCGATCTCTTGCTTGTCTTCTGTTTTATTAGTTTCAACTTTCTTTCCTGATCCCTCTGCTATTACTGTTTTTATGTCACCTCCATCAGACTTTTCTTCCACAGCTGGTGGCTGAATAACTTCCTTTTTCATCTCATCCTTGCGCTTCTCAGAAGAAGACGTGATTAAACTAACAGGTGTAGCTGCTGCTGCTGCTTCTTTCACCACAGGTGCTTCAAGAGGGATAGAAACTGATGGCTGAATAACTTCCTTTTTCTTCTCATCCTCGTGCTTCTCTGAAGAAGATGCAATTACAGATGTAGCTGATCCTTCTTCTTCTATCACCACAGGTGCTTCAAGAGGTACGGGAACAGGTGTAGCTGCTTCTTCCGGTACCAGTTCTTCAACTGAACTCGGTGTAGCTGCTGCTTCCGGCACAGGAGTGTCAAGAACAACTAAAATATCTTTTACTTCCTCACAACTTGCTAAGGATTCAGCCTTAAGCTCCCCATTGCTGACAACATCTTCTTGCTTTTCATCTGTTGTAACCAGATTGGCCACACCGTTTACCGAATCAATCACTACAGTATCATCATGATTCAGTTCCTCAACTTTGGTGTCATCCCTATGTTCGATATCCAACTTTGTATCATTCTCATTTTCTTCTTTGCCCTTGTCCACTTGAACCCATTGTTCAACAACATCAACTATGTCCTTGGGATCCGAGTTTTCAGAAGGGAGGCAAGGGTCTTCTTCTTTTTTTCCACTTTCCTCAGGCAGAAGAATATCACGGCTGATTATAGTTTCCTCACAAGTAACCACAACCTCAGCGTTGCCATTTGAAACCTCATGCCCTTCATTTTCACAAGTCTCAGCCAGGGATTCATTGATTTCGAATTCCTTACTAGTTCCTCCCTCGTCAATTTTATCAATGCTCTCACCACCCAACACGACTTCCACCTTATCTTCAACCACCACTGATACCACATCCTCTGAGTTCACAACCTTTTCAGGATCATCAACTCCATCAATTCTCCCAACACCCAACAGAACTTCCACCTTATCTTCAACTACCATCAATGCCACATCCTCTGAGTTTACAACCTCTTCAGGAACATTCACTTCACCAATGCTCTCACCGCCCGGCAAAACTTCCACCTTATCTTCAACTACCACTGATGCCACATCCTCTGAGTTTACAACCTCTTCAGAAACCTTCACTTGACCAATGCTCTCACCGCCCGACAGAACTTTCACCTTATCTTCAACTACCACTGATGCCACATCCTCAGAGTTCACAGCAACTTCAGGAATATTAACTTTATCAATGCTCTCACCGCCTGACAAAACTTCCACCTTATCCTCAACCACCATTGTAGTCGGAACCTCTAAGCTCACATCCTGATCATGAACACCAACTGCCTCCACGAATGTCTCCACTTCATTTCCAGCTCCCGAATTCTCGGCGCCAACCACCGAACCAGCATTATCAGTAGTGCCCAACTCAGCTGTTATTCCTTCCTTTGGCGTTTCCTCGTGTGAATCAACCGCCTCCTCAAACACCTCATCTTCCAAATCCTTCAATTCAATGGACTCAGTCACGGCACCCTCCACCTTCTCCTCCATAACCACAGCATCCCTCTCTATTACCTCTTTCAATTCATCTGAAGTTACCGCCACAACTCTCTCCTCTACTGCAACCTCCAAAATCCCATTTCCCACATTGGGTTTCTCTCCCAGCTCGGGCAAACCAACAACTCTCCCTACCTCATTTTCCATTCCAGCCACAAAAACCCTAAATTCAACCGAAAAACCCCCAAGTCAGCAACAATCACCAAAACAAGCAAGAACCCAGATTACCCAATTCGACCAAAAAAAAAAACAATCTAACAGGATAGAATTAATAAAATAGGGTTTTTGCCACCCAATCCCCCACCGAACCAAGATTGAATAAATAAAAACGAACAAAATGGATCTCACATAGAATACAACAACCTACAACGCAAGCTCAGATCTCAAAGATCATTCCTTTTAAGGTTTTTTCCAACAACCCAAGAATAGGGAGCAGGACGGGAAACGAATTGAGGCGATTATAATTCCCATGGCAAGTGAAAAGAGAGGGTGAAGAAATAGGTTCACCTGGTTTTGTGGGCGCCAAGAGAAAGTAACTGATAAAAGGCGAAGCGAGATGAGATGAGATGAGATACACAGAGAAAGAGAGAGCTGTGAATATGTGTTAAATTTTCTTTTTAGCTCGTTTCTAATATCTACCGGGCAGCGAATTTTTGGGATTTCGCTTTACCAGAGAGAGCGAAAGAGGAAGAAGGAAGAGGATGATAAGAGATTGGGGACGATTGATCTGACGGGTGACAATGGCTGATTGTTCATAGAAATCAACGCTCCTGAAAGACGCCAAATCTCATTTTCTCCTGCTGACGTGGACTAATAAAGTAGGGGCAGCCAATGCACCAGTCCCGTCTGACTGAAGAACTAGTATGAACAAAAAAAAAAAAAAAACTAGTATAAATTGGACTGAAATTGAATGGCAAATTGCTTATGACAAAAAAAAGGCAAATTGCAAGTTTAGTCACTGGAATTATAAAACAAATTACAACAAGTTTTGTCACTAAAATATTTTATTCATTTGTGATCATTGAACTTAGTTTAATAATTCAAATTTGGTCACTCGTTGTTACCTTCTGTCAGCCTCCGTTAACAGCATCAATTTTTTGCTGACGTAGCTAACAAAAGTACCTAATTTACAAATTTTAACCTGGAAAATTAAAACTTGACCCGCCACGTTATTAAAACCCGACATGTCATTAAAACCCAACTTATAACCAAACCCTTCCTCTTCTTCCTCTTTTTGACCAACGGAAAAAACAAAAACCTACCTCCTAACCACTAAATTTGCCGCCAAACACCATCTGCCATCAGTCTCTTCCAACAAATTGTTTAATAAATGGTCGGGAGGTAGGTTTTTTGTTATTCTTTCGGGTCAAATAGAGGAAGAAGAGAAAGGGTTTGCTCACGGGTTTGATTTTAATTACGTGGCTAGCTTTAATTTTAATGACATTAATAAAAACTTATGTCGTTAACGGGGACTAAAGGAAGGTAACAGTCAGTGACCAAACTTGAACCTTTGAATAAATTTAAGTGACCACGGATGAAATAAAATATTTTTAGTTGCAACGTGAAATTTATTAGTCATCCCAGTGACCAAACTTGCAATTTACCTAGAACTTAATTGAACTTCTTATGTTTTTTTTCTAGGTCTAACTTGAACGAGGTATCTATGTTCACTTGTCATTACGTTTATATAATTGCTGTAACATGAAACAAATTCTAATGAAAGTGAAAATGTCGTTTTCTCACACACAAAAAACTAAAGAAAACTTGTTTGGTTGAGAATTTGGTGAGTTCTGAAAGTGAATTCGGAAAATAAAAATTTGTTTAGTTACTTCATACTATTTTTCTAGTACTTGATTACCATAAAAAAATGGAATTAAGCTATTGGGTGTGAGAGCAATGGTTTCAGTCTGCGTGAGAGGATAAAGAAAGGCGGACCTAAGTCACAAGGCTTGATGAGAATGTGAGGCACATTGGACCTGCCAAAGAGCAAACGTCGCATGATATTTGTTGGGGAAAAAGGTCAAGAAGGACACGTGAGAGACATGTGCCGCAATTAGGCGTTTTCCCGCTCATCCGCTGAACACCGCGGGTAGCGCACACCTTCGCAACTTGGTCTGCGGAAGGACCACCCAAGGATCACGTGCAGAGGAATCTGCAGAAAGGACATCGGGAGGGGCCCGCGTATCTGTTTCTGACTATCCTATCTTGTCATCTGCATCTTCTCACCAAACCCGAGTAGGCTATAAATACCACATTTACTACACTTAGAAGGGGACTTTTGGGGATTCTCTCTCTCCCTCAATCTCTTTCTAGAAACTTCTCAATATTCCCCTTCTGTGAGAATTCTGCCTCTTCATTAACTTGTAAGTGATCAGATAATAAAGAAGGTTCTTTGTTCCTTATTGAATCAGCGTTAAATCCCTAAATCCATCGTGCAAATCTCCTACACCCAGCCTTGCACAAACAATTGGCGCTCACTGTGGGGCTGACAAAGATTCGATGGGGAAGGAGAAAAACACAACGCCCGCGAACACTTCGACAGAAGAAACAACCCCGCTCAAAGCCACAATCAGCCAAAGCCTCTTCAACGCACCCACAAATTCAAACGCGATGAGACTCTTCCATTCGAGCGGCAACCCAGACACTGTGCTGGTTGAGGAAGAAGAAGTGGAGCTGTCATCAAAAGAAATGCGCTTGCAGATGAAGAGACAACACAAAACCATCACCGACATGCAAGGGAAAATGAGTCAAGTGATCGCGCTCCTAAGCGCCCAACCTAACACCTCCCTTCCTGGTGCAAACCCAGTCCCAATCGAAGCCGCAGACCCAGCAACGGAACGGTGCCTCACAATACCCACACAATGAGGGAAGGGTGACATGATCTCGAATACCTCAAACAACACTTGTCACCCGCCTACAGAGCTCCCCGCAAAACTATTCTCCATCAACCCCTCTGTGCAACTATTATGGCGGAACAAATGATGGGAACCCCCCCCCCCCCCCCGACGTTGCCAACTTACAATGAGGCCACTGACCCGGAAGACCACGTCAGCGCCTTCTGCCTGCACATGCAGCTTCAAACGTGTTCTAACGTGGTCTTGTGCCGCACCTTTCCATCCACCTTTGCAGGCATTTGCCTTGATTGGTACAACCGCCTGCCGAACGGGATAATTCAGATGTTTGAAGAATTCATCCTCCTATTCACCACAAAGTTTGCTTCCCAAAAACGGAGACCACTACATACAGTGGCACTCGTGGACGTGCGGCAAAAGGAAAACGAAAGCCTAAGAGCTCTCTATAATAGGTGGTCCCGCATTGCCATGGCAGTTCGGGACTTGACCCCTGAAAATATTGCGCATCATCTTATGGATTCCAAGAACAACTCTGAGCTAAGGCGTTCGTTGGCCAATCGCCCCCTGTTATCATCCCCAAAGCTGGAGGCCAAGGTGGAAAAGGCGATCACACTAGACGAGACCCTGGGGGCAGGGTCAATCCACCGATTCAAACCAAAGAACGCCAGAGATGAGCAACCGCATCACCAACCACCGCTCCCGCTGACCCACTACCACAGCGGACTCGGAAAACCGCACATGGCACCCGTGGTCGAACCCCAGAGAAAGCGTTCTCCAGAGTAGAACAAAAACGACATAAATTTTTCACCGTTGGACGACACGGTGAGGAATATTTTTCACACGGTCAGAGAGAAGGGATACCGCATAAACTGGTCGGGCCACCAATGGAAGCTGGAGAACCGACGTGATCACCGCAAGTACTGCGACTTCTACTGTGAGACTGGCCACCTCACATAACATTGTTACAACTTCAAAGCTGAAATCAAAGCACTCATAGCGTGAGGGCGCCTCGTAGAATACGTACAGACAAGAGATCGTGCGCCGCCACAGAAACTGCCACACCCCCACAAACGGGGTACGATGAAGAAACCAGCGACCTAGTGATACGGAAGGAAATTGGGGTAGTCTCAGTCGAAGGTACCAGGCCGCACAAGAAACCGAAGAGAGAAAGGGCACTTGAATCTGCGGCAGCAGTAACAATGCCGACGTTACCGCTCTACTTCAGCGATGATGAGTACCCAGAGGGAGGTCTGTCCGAGGATTCGCTGCTCATCCCCGCATTAGTTGCCGAATGCAAGTTGCACCGTTTGCTCATAGACGGAGGCAGTGCCACGTAAATCCTATTTAAATAGACCTTTGATATGATGGATATAGATCCGCAAATGATTCTCCAAGCAGAGGGAAACCTGGTGAGCTTCTCGGGATCGCTGGTGCTAGTAATCGCCTCTATCACTCTACCTGTGGTGCTGGGCAACCAATCCCCCCGAGCAACGGAACAAGTCGAATTCATCATCTTAGACTTCAAATCGCCTCACAATGCGATATTGGGACGTCCATTTCTCGCGAAGTTCAGGGCGTTACCATCCACATGCCACCAACTCATAAAATTCCCAACTTCAAAGGGGGCAGGCTTCTCGAGAGGTGAGCACAGGGACCCCACAACACAGAGGAGGACAAGAGGAGCCACGGCCTGTCCCTGCAGATTCAGACATCATTATATCGTTAGATCCCGCCCAACCTGACCAACAAGTTCGCCTGTCGTCCCACATACTTGACGATATGATGCAACCGGTCATACAATTTCTGGTGGAGTACAAAGAGCTCTTTGCTTGGAGCACACAAGCCATGCTTGGGGGTTCAAAGGGAAACCGCGGAACACCACCTAGCTGTGCCAAGAAACGCGGAACCAATACAACAAGGTCAATGGACTTTCACGGGAGAGAAGCTGAAAGCTATCAAAGAAGCGGTAGCGCGTTTGTTAGAAGCGGGCCTGATCAGAAAAATTCAGTATCCTAAATGGCTCTCCAACGTGGTCCTAGTGAAAAAAGCATCGGGGGCTTGGCGCATGTGTGTCGACTACACAACGCTCAACAAGGTCTTCCCAAGTGATCTGTACCCACTCCCGCGAATTGACATGCTGGTGGACGCAACGTCCAACCACGACATGCTCTCATTCTTGGAAATGGTCTCCGGGTACCACCAAATACTCATGAGGCACGAAGACCAGGAAAAAACCTCTTTCATGACCCCGTTTGGAACTTCTTTTTCGTCGGGATGCCCTTTGGACTGAAGAACGCCGGAGCCACCTATCAACGCCTTATCAACACAGTCTTCGAGAATTAGATAGGTCGTAATGTCGAGGCATACGTTGATGATCTCATTGTAAAGTCCAAGCGCAGAGAGTCCCACCAGGATTACTTACGCGAAACCTTCGCCACCCTTCCCGCTCACAACTTGTGCCTCAACCCGCTTAATGCGTGTTTGGAGCAGAAGCCGGGAAATTCCTCGGTCACATGATCACTAGGCGAGGAATTGAAGTCGATCCAAAATAAATGGATGCCATCCGACGGCTAAAGGCTCCACGTAGCACACAAGAAGTCCAGTCATTGACGGGAAAGCTTGCCGCGCTCGGAAGATTCATCCCTCACTCCGCCGATCTATGTGCATCGTTCTTCCAAACTCTCAAGGCAGGGACAAAGCTCAAGTGGGACGCCGCGTGCGAAAAGGCTTTTGAAGAACTGAAAATGTATCTTGTATCCCAGCCTGTGTTGGTTGCCCCAGAGGCAAATCAAATGCTCTATCTTTACCTTGCG